TATCCTGCATTATCATTACAGAATTACGCTGCACACAGGTTCCCAATATTGCACAGCATGAAATATGTTACATTAATAAATTATAGCAGTAATACATTAATGGGATCTTCAGTTAAACTGAGAGACAGAATGAGGCACTAAGTAATCGGCTGTCGTCAGATTACAGCACAAGGCAATGAGGAAACACATCTCTTAAAATATTTTTCTTTAAGTAAAAGGTGAATAAATAAATGGTCCAAATACATCTTTAAAGTCAAATTTTCTTTCCAGGATTGTGAAACGCTCACAGATACTCAGACAGTTAGCTTACAGTCATCATCATAAAAAAAAATTCGGGAAGTAATCACATTAAGCTAATGTACTAATTCACATCAATCCACATTGTGTTGTCATGGAGATTAAGGGGTTCCAGCACCTATTAACATGCCGGATGTGTTCCATCTCGTCACCATGCCAACGCCGCCGCATCACCAGGACTTCCGCCGTGTCTTCGTGAGCTCACTTCCTGCCCAGCTCCCTGGCCCTCTCTGTAGCCGCCTCCACGGCCCCCATCACCGCAGCCCGGAGTCCCCCCAGCTCCAGGGCATGCAGTCCATAGATGGTGGTGCCCCCTGGTGTGCAGACGTCAGAGCGCAGCTGGGCCGGGTGCCTTCCGGAGTCCCTCAGAAGCCGGCCGGCTCCCTGCGGACACGAGGACATCCAGGAGATGTGAGGGTTATGCTGCGTCCGAGGGAAATAATTCAGGGTCAGGGAGCGGGAGGGGGTGTGTCTCACATGGAGCCGTCCAATTGCATTGCTCCTGCTTCCTTCCCTAGAATGACTGACACTATGTCCATCCTCTCACCTCACCAGTCCCTCACCTTCTTCCTGTCTGTCTGCCTCTCCGGCATCACGGCGTCTACACAGGACTACTTAGTCCACAGGTCTCCACTCATCGAATTGTTTCTATTCAACTGCTTCAGGATCAGCCAGACATCATCCCTTAGTCACCTAAACCACCTTAACTAAAAATACCCACCTAAAATGATGACGCTTACCCACCTAAAATGATGACGCTTACCCCTATGCATTGTTCCACATTTCTCCAAGACAGTGTCCGCGGAGCACTAATTGGCCACTAGAAACGATGTTTCAAACTTTACGAAAGACCTTTTCGCAAAGCAATTTTTCCAATTGCTTCGATCTCTCAGAAGCCCCACTTACTATCACTAATTTACATACCCAATTAGAAGCAGCACATATTGTTTTGAAAATAAAATCTTAACTCAATATACAAATAAGGCAGAGACAAACTTATAGAGAAAGGCTGATATCACAGCTACAAGAGAGAGAACGCAGGCACGCAGAAAGAACTAACCAGGACGGTCTGTGCTGCGATGCGCTGGGCCAGCGCGCTGCGCATGAGAGAGACACACACAGGCACGCAGAGACAACTAACCAGGACGGTCTGTGCTGCGATGTGCTGGGCCAGCGCACTGGGCATGTGAGAGACACACACAGGCACGCAGAGACAACTAACCAGGACGGTCTGTGCTGCGATGCGCTGGGCCAGCGCGCTGGGCATGGGAGAGACACACACAGGCACGCAGAGACAACTAACCAGGACGGTCTGTGCTGCGATGCGCTGGGCCAGCGCGCTGGGCATGTGAGAGACACACACAGGCACGCAGAGACAACTAACCAGGACGGTCTGTGCTGCGATGCGCTGGGCCAGCGCC